AATGCAAAAAAACAAATGCTGAGATTGTTTGAATGAGAGTACAAGTGACACCATAAAGGCTTGATTTTCATTCAGAAAGGTAAACCTAGATCTCACATGAATAAAGTAGACAAATGTATAGTTATCTATAGGCATTCATAACACCAGAAAAATTCCAATACGTTACCTTACCTCCACTCACATAATAGCTTTTCTCTATTTGTGCAATTTTCACTTGCCACTAACATTGATGCTCCCATCTACTCTCACATGATTTCACATGGTGTAGCTGCACTGTAGCATGCAAATGAGCATGCAACAACTCTCCACCAATATAAATGTGACATACCCTCCTAGTGCAGCTGACTCCCTCTGTACTATAGAGCACTCTCATCACTTTTCCATTTAGCATTCCTGTTTCAGATTATGATGTACAATTTCACAAAATACTACTGTATTGACAGATTTTGCTAAAAGAAATGTAGAAAATTTCCTTTCTTTTATTTTCCACATAATGAACTCTCAATTTAGTAATACTACAATGGCTTCTGGTATGGATCCTGTCACTGCTGATCCAACAACAATTACTACTTCTGTGGCTTTGGGTTCCACACTTTTAGTGGAGGAGGTCTCGGCCTTGGTATATTGTGAGTTAGAGTCTAACATGCAGCCAGCTACATCTCTGGAGCTGTGGTCAGATCTCCTGGAGAATTTGTTCCTGAAGAGGAAGATTTGGACAGCCTTTTTCCACCTCTTGCCTTTGATGTGCCTTCTTGCTCTACCCCTCTCAATTTACCTCATCCTTTATCTGCATTTTTGGACATGATTTCTCAGGTATATTACCTCTTGTCTCTTTCTCCTGTGTCTTATAATTCCCCCTCCATTCTTCATTCTGTTCTGACATCGGATTATATAGTTTTTTCCCTCCTCACTTGATATTCAAGTCCATGCTGAACAGTTTCTTACCCAGTTATGTTTGGCTGACTTGCATGCTTTGGCATATCATAGGTCAGAATTTTTGTTTTTGGATTCCAAGACCTTAGTGTCTCTGATTTAGGCATGGGGCTCCAATCCTGCTACTACACTACAATTTTTCCTGGCCCACTTCTCTCATCTCTGTCTCACTCTCATTACTATCTACATTATCTCTTATCCATGCACCTCCTTTCCGAGGCTATCCACTGTTCCCCTGAGGAGTTTTCGGTGGATACACTCACTCTTCCTCAGCCTTATCTCTTCATGGCTCTTTTGTTGTTAGAACCTCCTTGGGAGGGGGTGCCTTCTTGTCACACATACATCTGTCTGCTTCCTAATTACGTGATCTCCATCTGGCTCTTTTCTTACACCAGTCTGTTTTTGTGGATCTCCCTAATATTTTAGTCTCAGGTGGAGGCTGCTCGTAAACATTCCTCCCTCTTTTCTCTTGTTTTTTTGTCTTTCCCAATCTTCTCTTGTTTATGTGACTCACCCCCCATGCATCCTTCCCTCTACCAATGCCACCTTCCTGGGTTTATGTGGTGAGTTTCCAAATTGCCCATCTTTGCATTTTTCAATGCTAGTTTCATCAGTGATTATCCTGTGGGTTCTGGCACTATATGAGCATGGTTGGCCAGGTTTGCGTATCTGTGGTGTCCTTTCACCATGGACACTTGGGTTCTTCAGGTTCTAACAGAAGGACTGTCTCTTTATTTTTCTGTTCTTCACCCTTTACACCTATGCCCTGGTTCTTTCCTCCTTCCTCAGGATTCACTTTCTTGCCAGCACCTTTCTGAGGCAGTTCAAGATCTCTTGAACAAAGATGCTATAGAGCAGTGGTTCCCAACTTTTTGTGGCCCTTGCAACTCCTAAAGAAGCCCATACACCCCTCCCCTGAAAAGTGTGCATTAGACATTTCCTCTTGTCAACATTTGGGGAAATGTACCTTGTATAGGTCTCTTCTGCACACCCCCTGGACCCTCATTTCACACCCCTGGTTGGGAACCCCTGCTTTAGAGCAAATTTTTCACCCTTCTCTGGGTTTTTATTCCCAGCTGTTCATTGTTCCCAAGAAGATCGAAGATTGGAGTCCTGTTATCAATCTCTGCAACCTCAGTTGCTTTACTGACCTCCCACAGTTCACCATGGAGTCTTTCCTTGCCCTCTGATGGTCATTCAATCCAGGTTTATGGGTGACCAAGGTAAACATGTTGGATGCTTACCTTTATATACCAATTTTTCCAGCATCCAGACGTTATGTTCAGTTTATTCACAGGAATCGGGTGTTCCACGCTCTACCCTTTTGTCCGGCATTGGCACCATCTTCTATTGCATGGTCAAAGCCTTTGCCTGCTGTATTCACAACAAAGATTTCCATTGTTACCATTATATGGACGATTGGCTCCTTCCTAACAAGCCTCTCACAATAATACCCATTTCCTCCTGCAAGTGGTGGCTTATGTGGGATAGCCTGTCAAACAGAAGTCCCACCTTGGCCCACACAGTATCTTATTCATCTGGAATGTGTTTTTCAACACCTATTTCATCAGGGCCCAGTCTCCTCTTCATTTAAGAGTGATGGAGCTCATGATTTACAAAGCCAAGTCTTCTCTTTCTGCATGTGAGGTTCTCTCTCCTTTGTGCACATGAGCCACCATGGAATCCCTCATTCCTTTGGGATATGCACTCATGCATTGACTTCAGTGGGTGCTGTACAATCAATATAATCTTATTCAGGATCCATTGGACTCTGCCACCTTCCTCCCTCCTTCCATACAAGTCGACTTTGCCTGGTAGCTCAACAGGAATAACACCTCAATGGGTGTTCACCTGCCTCCTCCCCATCCCAGTTTGCATCTCTTTACAGATGTTTCTCTTATGGGATGAGAAGCATACTTGGATTCTCAGAAAATAGCTGGTCGAGGCCAAATCTTCCCTACACATCAATCTTCTGGAACTCCTAGCTGTTTGTCACATTTCCTACCGGTGGTATGGAGCCACCTGGTCTGATCCATTCTGAAAATTTGACTGTTGTCTCTTACATCAATTGTCGAGGGGGTACCTGATCCCATTTGCTTTGCTTTCAAATGCTGGATCTCCTTTTCTGGGCCCAGTCTCAGCAGGTCTGTCTTCTTGCTTGTCACATCTAAGGTGCTCTGAATCTTGTGGACAGATTGGGTGTCTCGTCCTGATGAAATTCAACTAACAGAGTGATCTCTTGCTTCTCAAATGATCCAGTAGTTATGCTCCCAGCTAGGTATCACCCTTCTGGATGCATTTGCCACCCAGCTCAATACAAAACTCCCCTTTCTGGTTCTGCATCCTTCAACATTAACAGTGGATTCCTTCAATCAGAATTGGACCATTCTCTATCTGTATGCTTATCCTCCCATCTATCTTCTGTCCCACGTACTCTCTCTCTTATACAAACCATTCCATCTCAAGTCTTTCTCATTGTCCCATTATGGCTTACACAAGTGTAGTTTCCACTGTTGAACCTCCTCCTTTCATCATCATTTCCCATACCTCTTCCACTTTCCCGATCTCTTCTCCGGTAACCTCAGTCCTCTGTCTTTCATCTCACTGTAGCCATACTCTGCTTTCATGCATGGATTTTGTCCAGTCCCTTGCGAGATGATCTACACTCTCTACATGGGTAGCCTTCTTTCTTTCTCACTCAGCCATCTCCTCCTCATCTGGCTATCACTTGCCATCCGTCGCCATTCTCCATACCTCACCTTGACTCTGAAAGGGTTAAGTTTTTACTTTTTTATTTATTCCCTTTACAGTGGCCCTTTCTTCTTTCCTGGATCCTGCTCTGTGACAAGTGGTGCCTTTTTAAGTATACTTAAATGTAAATCTGCACCATACTGCTGTACAGGTCTGTAACACTCACTGAAGAGATGGAGGTTGCCTCATGGTATCTTGCTTCACAAATAAGGCCTGCACCAGACCATGCCAACTCGTGAACTACAATGAGTAAAGCAGTTTCGGGATTGCTGTCCATCCTTCTGGTCCTAGGTGAATAAACCGGAACTGGCCTTCTTTTCAAAATAGGGTTTTTGTGGTCAGCCATTGCACTATCTTACGGTGCTACATTCCTCTGTACTCCTTACCATGTTGTTACCCTCCCTCTCCCAGTGGATTACAGGAGTCTTTGCCAGTTACCTGTTCCTAGTTTCTGGAGTGGTGGACCATGGAGGTTTCCTTCAGAGTGTGACCAGTTCCACTGAGTTGAGAGTAGGGTGGTGATATTCTGGTGGTGTAGATTGTGAGTAAATACCCAATGCTGCCTGGTTTTGGACTGTACAATTCTGCCACATGCAGTTCAACCCTCCGGCTGGCTTTACCCCATCCTACTGCTGCCTGGATGTCAGTTCCTGGGCAGTCTGGTGTTGGATCAATGTAGGACCAGCCAACATAAGTCCTCACACATATGAAATATTATTTTGAAATATTAAAAGTCAACTTTTGAAAATGTAAAACCTGTAGAACTTTGTAATATGATCCTTCAAAATATTTTAATATAAAAAACAAAAACTAGATATAATTTGAGAAATTTATTTAACTTTTTCAGCAATGAATGGATTATATAAATCTGTAACCTTTTTGTTTGTTTTGGAAACCCACTTCACCACAGAAGTGAAGAATGACAAACAACAAAACCAAGTTTTCAATATGTAATTACCCCTTAAAAGTTATAATTATACTTTAAAAAGTTTTGAAGTCTGTCTTTTACTTGTAGGACTTCTCTCAATCCATATATGAGACTTGCACTTAATAAAAAAATTCTGGTGATTTTTACCTGAAATTTATAGTCCTTACTTTTTTTTTTATCTTGAAACAATACATTGAGGAGAATGTGAAGAAAAGTGGCTCCAAGCGGCTGTTATTTCGTATGATTCTGTAAGTTCCTACACACACATGAACTATAATTGAGGTGATAAAACTAATAAACAACAACAACATATATACAAGTTTGATTTAAAATTTTAGAAAAATTGAAAGTAGATTAATTTTCCTTTAGTTTTTACTCATACTAGTTTGTAATACTAAAGATCATTGTCTAAAGGACACATTGAATTATACATCACTTACTATGAATTATCCTTTCTATGACATATACATCTGTAAGAATTATATTAAAAAAATCTATATCTTGAAAATTAAAAAATGAATCTTATCGTAAATTAACACCCCACTTTATAATCCTCGTATAATATTATGCAAAAAAACTTAACATGCTGGGGAAGCAATAGAAGCACTTGTGCTATTATTTAAGTAGATATACACTTAGTATGTTTTTTTTATGTTTATAATCTATTCATATACATGTTGGATTAATGGAAGTTTTTAATATCTATTGTAAATAAATGTATTTAATTGTAATGAGTAGCGCCCAGGTGGGCTTAATTGTTGGAATTTCAATTAAAACTACTCGTTACACCAAATTTATTTATTGGAG